AGGTTTTGAATGAAATAAAATTATGAATTATGAATTATATATATATATATATATATACAGTATATATATATATATTATATATATATATATAAACAAATAGATAAATAATAAAAACAGTGTTCAAATAGAAACATGGTGTAATTAACTAATTATCATCCCTGCAGTTTTCTCATTCACGGAAACTTTAGTATAGCTTAATATATTACAAAACAACAAAGTCTTGATATTATTGATTAGTTTTATTTTTGTGAGCCCCGAATTGTTTTCAAATACTGTATCTTAAAACGAAAATTATTAATATTAATTAGGCACTAACTAGTATTATTATTATCATTGTTATTATTTTTAATATTAGTATAATTAGTATATTATTATCATCATTGCGGCTGGTCGTCATCCTTCTTATCATCATCGTCATTATTCTCATTATCGATTATTATTTTTGTTATTATTCTTTTTAAAATAACCTAAATAATTATCATTATTCGTATTAAAAGTAAATCATTCGATCTACCGTAATTTTGAAAAACGCATTTGAATTCAGTCTCATAGGAATATTTCTTGGCAAGAAGTAAATCAAATTATAAATCGCTAGGTATGAAATGGATCGATGTTAGAAAAAGGCGCTAAAATTATCCGTTAATGAGCAGACCAATCTGACAATTAAATTCCGTAACGCGCTTCAGATGCTTTCATCAATCCGTGCAAGTTAACATCGATCGTTAACTCATTCACTTCGTTAATTAATTTCTGCATGACGTCATAGATCTTTGATCTTATTTCGGATTCAGAATATTTAATTACTTAAAAGGAACCTATTCAGTTTTCATATAGTTTCAGAAAATCGACTAAATAATTTGTGTCCTTAATTGCAGTACCTTATATGTTTAAAATTGTTTGTCAGATTCTCACCTATACTACTAATCAAGGTGCATAAATTGATGGCGAAATCTAGTACTGTAAATGCATTGTGTCCTTCACACTGCATCTGTGTATCTCTGCGGAAGTGATGATGATGATGGCGCCTGTATGTCAAACAGGACACCGGTTCGAATCCGGATTTAGTTGCGTATCTAGGGAAGTAAGGCGGGGAGGGGGTGCACAATCTAATAATTAAAAAAATGATACCACATGGGATTTTTTTCGAGATAATACAGTACATATACTACATGAATCTCAAAGAAACAAATTGAATTTAAAAACACTCTTGACAGTAGTTTAGGTGATTTAATACCGGTTAAAGGGTGTTAGGGTTAGTGTTAGGGTTAGTTAATACACTCCATGATACAGGGATTGATGTTCAGTGGCTCTATATTGTTTTATAATAGTAATTCCCAAAATTTATAGCATTCATTTTGAAAGGAAGCCCACCCCCCCCCCATTTTACTTTGCAAAAGTAGCCTCGAAAAGAAGCCATCAAAAGTTCCCAAAAAATAAAAAAGAAAGAAGCCCAGGGCATCAATTTGAGGTTTAATTTTAACAAGAATCTGTTAAAAGCACCTTTTCACTTATGAATGTAAGGCAATATAACTTAGGTCTATCAGTGGCGTCTAGGTGTGCGCACGCTCCCCCAAAACAAATTATGGAATGATGATGATGACTTCTATATTTAATATCAAACTGTAAGTATCAATTTATTGTGAAAATCGTGTAAGCCTATTTCAAATTGATTTGATAGTATGTGTTCTACTTCCTATATGGTATGAAGCAATACCAAATAATGCGATGACATTCAAATAACTTTTTTTTTCTTCAAAATTATATTGCTTGAGAATACTCAACTGTCACTTTGTCTTTTCCCACAATCCTCGTTTTATCTTGCAGTGAAAATTAATTCTGGCATCGGATACAGCTGATTAGGCCTACAGAGTGCCTCCGTACCTGTACAATGCCGACCCTTATAATCGACATGGCAATTCTCGTCTTGTTATTTCGGTTCTTTTGGCGAGAAAGGAAAGTAACATTTCGACGTAAAACAAGTTCGAAATCTTGATTATCGTTTAGAAAATATATCACTTTGTGGCTTATTCATATTCTCTAAAATATGGGAAAGCGTTCACAATGTGCTAGTTTACTCTATCAACTTTTCACTAGTGAATTTCATCCAAAGAGATTTATGGAATTAATATTAAAATCGTATTTTGCTGATTGCCTTGCCGTGTGGTAAATGAACATAATAAGAATCGCTTGAAGTATAACAAATTACTCAACCATATTGGAATAATCTAAAAATCGACATAAAATAAAAAATGGGGAAAATACCGTTAACGACACAAGAAAAATTGATAGATTTCCGTAAATGGCCTTGGAAACAGGGTGACAATGGCAATGTAAAAGTACCTACATTTTTAAAATGCCACCCTTTATTTTTTTAATAGGGAGTTTTCGCAAACCTACGAGAACGAATACAGCTAAATCATCAATTTCTTAGACAACCTTCCCCTATAGCATATCTGTCACAACGTCGGCGATTCATGCCTTCTGAAAGAACAAGAATCATATTCAACTCATACAGCATATTGACAGAATGTTTTAGACACGAATGACGATAACGAAAATGACGTATTCGTATTTGTTATCGTTTCCGTAAGGTTGCTAAATCTTCCTATTGTACCTATAAAACGAATTAACCAACATCCCCTCAGATTCCAACTTAAGTGCATACACAGTAAACAATACGAGGCGCTGTTCGATCTGGGATCGATAGAAAAGCAACTCCAACGAGCTATTTAATGGGTCTACTAGTTTAAGGTAACTCGATCATGGTTGCAAACTCAACGTAGAATACAAGTGAACAACGTATAGACAATGACTACCTAACCGCTCTCATTCCATGATATTTCCTACAAGAAATGTAGGTTGTAGGTCACATTACGCTACTAGTAATGTCGGTTTCACGTTAACAGGCCCTAAAGGTTGAAATTATTCCATATTATTCCATATTCACAAATGTTGTTATTGAAATCGCGAATATACAGTAAATTATTTTATGATAAGCCTACACGGTATATATCAATGTCTAAAACACTTTATTGATGGGAATATTGACGTAGGCCTATAAGGAGAAAGTATTTTACTTCTTATAGATAACATACTATTAAGGATGATGATAGATGATGATGACGATGATGACAGATAAAGGAGTTTTGTTTGTTGCTAAAACACAATAAAATACAACATAAACGGTCATACACAGAATATTAAAACTTAATGGTATGACAAATAAACCGGGCCTATATTGCATGTGTTGAGTACTGTACGATAATTGCACTGATAATGTCAGAACATATGATCATGAGGTAAAATACCATAGTACTGTATGAATAGTTATCTGTTTAGATGCCCGGATGGTGATCAGTGATGGCGCCAGGACCTGCCCGACGGAGGGGCTTAAGGTCCCGACGGGGGGGGGGGGCTAGTGGAGCGAATCGAGTCTTACTTTATCTATCTATCTATCTATCTATCTATCTATCTATCTATCTATCTATCTATCTATCTATCTATCTATCTATCTATCTATCTATCTATCTATCTATCTATCTATCTATCTATCTATCTATCTATGCCTACATAATTTTTGCTCTATTTACTTTATTCAGTGTGTGTTATTCTGTGCAATATTATTATTCTTATATTTTATGATATTAGTATTTTTTTTTCATGATAATAATTCATTTTGCCGGGAAAGCAAATTTCATATATTGTATTCATTAATGTATATGACCAAGATATGACCATGGAGGTATTATAATACCTCCATGATATGACCAATAAAAATGAACTTGAACTTAAACTTGATAGATGGGGGAAAAATGTTATTGTGATGAGGGCGTGCTTTTCTACGCATATTTACATGACGTCATATAGCAACAACTCAAAACATTTCCTTTTCAATTCTGCATGCAGCAGTGAGCGAGATGTTGGTTTTACCAATAACTCCGTGGTTTAGCAGATGAAATTGACTGACTTAAGCTAGGCCTATGTATAGATTTGAAATCAAGCTATAATAATAATAGAGTGGTATGTATAGGGTTTAAGTTTTTTTCTGCTGTCAAAGCAAAGAATGATGATCATGGTATAGGGCCTAGGCCTAGGCCTAGACTAGGGCCTATGCTAGGCTAGAGAAGATAGGCCAGCCTAAACAATAGGCTACCTAGGCCCTCCTCCTAGCTAGGCATAACATTCAAATAGACCTAGTCATAGCATAGGATAAGCATACGGATACGGTACGGGCCTATCTAGCCTACACTCGAGCGTTAGGCCGAGGCGGGCTACGGCCCTAAAGCTAAGGTGGTCGGTCATACTATTATTACTAAACACCACACGTAAGACCACACGGTTGCAAAAATGATTAAAATATTACCACACAAAAACAGGTTCCACCACCGCACATGCTTTGCCTTTTTATTTGGTTAATGCGTTCCGTTGACATTGAGCATCTCTAACACATTGATGTCTGCAGAAACATGTTCAACCATGACCTTAGGCTAGGCCTACATACAATACGTAAAACATTCAAGATATTACCAAATGAAAGCTAATGTTCAAACTTAATAATTGAAAATAATAAAAAGGAAAGAATGGATTGTTCTACTTGAAATGTAATAAAAACTAATTATTTACTTTGATAAATTGGGTCATTCTGAATCTATTCAATTTCAGTCTATTTCATATTAATGCAGTTACTTTATTCCGTTGCTGTGGCCTACACTGAAACAACCAACAAATATACAAGCAATAAATGAATTTTGAATTTTCTTAGAATTAATTTTATTTTAAATGATAGATGATAGAAAATCTTGTCTCTCTGTCATATTATTAGCCCTTTATTCCAGATGTAGGGCTCTCAACTTCTCTTTGAAAGTTATTGCAAACCTGAATTAGCTATTAGGCAGTTGGTGGCTCCAGATAATTCTGACAGGAGTTGCAAACTGGCAATAATGATTTAACTGTATGAGCTGGAAAGGGACTCCCATCAAGCATATACCCTTGTGGGCATCATGAGTAGTGATTTAATGATGTAGGATGGTAACATTGTGCTTTTGAACTGCAATCACAATAGCAGGGTTTGCAAATTATCATTTTTTAGTTGACAACCTTAATGGGTGCTCCATAGAATGAGGTTTCATTCTTGTCATAACTGGTTTGGGGAATAATTCCTCCAACGCATGCTGGTGCCACTATCGTTCAGTAACAATTAGAACAATTTTATTTATACCATAATGAATTACTTTAATATCACATTTATTAAAGGGAAATTGCCTCCTAGTCCAAGTGTAAGAGACATCAAAATATTAAAGTGTTCTGTTGTCATCCAAGTCTATAAATGGGTAAAAAGACCAAAAAGGAAAATGATGCTCCCCCTAAGGATGTGGTGAGTATATATCATATTTTTATAAACTGTACTTTTAAAAAATTTGTTTTAAAATGCACATTTTTCTAATGCATGTTTGTTGTGCTGTTCTGAGTGGTGAGTTGTTTGACTCTGGAAAAATCTATTAATGCTATTATTTTTTGTCACATTATTATAAGGCAAGAAACAAAATTTAATAACGTTAGAAAATAGTACATATTACAAAAAAAAAATGCCTCTATGCACTTTACATAAATAAAAAGAAACATAGACATGAAATAGTGTAACATTGCAAAGAAATCTAACAAAGAAATCAACAAAAAAGCAGAAGAATAATTTTTACTGCTCTGTTGTCCAGCACTTTGAAGGCCAAACGTTAGAGGCTCACTGGAATAGTACTCACATTTACAGTATGTCCCCCCCCCCATCAACCCTAAATCTCAAAAGTCTGCTTTTCCCTTTTTTTTTTTTTTGCCAAGAAAGGGCTAAAAATACTTGCGTGATGTTTCCAAAGACCATTTTTCAAACTTCATGAATTAGTTTACCAATATGTATCGGATGAGTAATGGTTGACACTGAAACCCAGTATTTGGCCTAGGCCTATACGAAAGAAAATTGCTCACTGCCACTGCTAATCTTTAATTTACAAATATTATTTTGCATGAGCAACATATTTTTTTGTTGGCCTAATATATATTCAGTCAAAAGAAGTAAATTATGAAATAAAATTCTAATTTTGTTTTTAAATAGTGTATATATACCAAGTGGTATAGTAAAGAATGCCAAATTTCTGAAATACTCTTCTAAAATAATTAACCATAATTATATAACTTAAGTACATGAGAATGAAAATCTGAACAATAAATTAATCAATTAATAAAATCTGTTAATAAACATTTGACAAAATATTGTTTCTTTAAACTTTAATATACATTGTCTCATTCATTAACTGTTCCATTAATAATGAATCAGAATCAGGTCTTTGAAATATGTTTTTCTTTTTTGCTTTCCGTAACCTGTCATGATTTATAATCTTGTGAAATACTATATTGTTAAATATTACAGTTTGACCCTGTGGCAATTGAAAGTAAGAAGGCGGCCACCGTAGTGTTGATGTTGAGTAGTCCTGAGGATAGTATTTTAATCAAAGGTTGTGAAGCTCTATATAAATATGCAGAGAAATGTAGGTAGATCAATGATTACTTTTGATACATCGTAGTCATTTGCGTACCAACTACACTTCATTAAATTTCAGTGATTTTTTTTTACAAAAATTCAATTCAATTCAAATTCATCTTTATTGCAATTAATTAAAGATAGCGTAGATTTGATTGGATAAAACAACTATTAAACAGCATTTTAAAAATAATTAAAATACACATTCAAAAGTTGCCAATAATTAGATAAAATACAAGAAAAAACATCAAAAAAATAAATACTATTGCAAAATGGCCAATTCCATAAACAAATCTTTTTTATTTATTTTGTATACAAAATTTCAATTTGAATTATATTAAAGTAATATTATCAATTATTTAAAAATATAAAAAGGTCAATATTTAATAAGTAAGCAAGGAGGCATAATAAAAACATAAGAAGATACAATACAAGTGTTTGTGAACCCCATCCAGTGTTTACTAATATAGTGCTAAGTTTTGTCTAATATATTGCAAGTCATTAATATATGGTTGTGTTATATTAACTAGAAATAATCAAATTTTTTCTGTTTGCTTTTAAAACAGGTGATGAAAATAAAGCGTTGTTGATGGAGCTCGGCGCAGTGCCTCCTCTTCTGCAGCTCATTATGTCAGTAGAGAAGACCGTTCGTCGAAATGCCACCATGGCTCTAGGGGTTTTATCAGGACATGGTAATGTGTATGGTTATTTATTATGGTTATTATGTTTATGGTTATTATTGTGTTTATGGTTATTTGTATCTTGTTATCTGTAGCAAGACAGAGAGTAGAAAGGGTAGGGGAATAACTCATGGCAACATTATGCTTAATTTTGTACAGGCGTGGTCAGTTATCACACCTTTGACAAGGACCTTCCACTAAGCACCGCCCCTGGGGATATTGTGGCTAGGGTGAGGGACCTTTATGTAAACTTGAATGTTTGTGGGACATGCGGCGGCTCATGCATTGTAGTAAACATAAATACGTATAGTAAATTTTTAGCATAAGAATAAGGCATCATGTACTGACTACTGAATATTTGTATTATTAGCTTTGATATTAAAAAACAGTACTCAATATTAGAGAGTAATACTACTACATGTTAATATTATAGCTATTTGACATTTATATAAATATAAGCTTTGATAACATTAGCAATCATCTTCACTAATCCTATCCATCACTAATCCTATCCATAACTAATAAACCAGAATTACTGACTGCCTAATAATTTAGGTACAGTAATTCATAATAACATAATATTATTAGCATCACTCACTACTTAATTATTGCTACACATTGACAATCTTGACTCAATGCTTATGATAGCATGTATAACATTCTGTCTGTCCCCAAACGGGGAATTTATTTCAAATAAACATAGGCCTTGGCCCAAAAATGTATACAAGAATTAAACCATTAAACAATAAAACTTATTGAAACAAACATCATGTTTCCGTCTATTGTAAGCAAATTATATATACAGTATTTAACTAATTTTGAGATTGTAGAGCTTTATTTTCAGAGGACATTAGTGTAACAAACTTATATTTATTAGGATAAAAACTGGAAATAATTTGAAGTAAAATGTTTTCTTAAATCGTTATAAGAGGGACAAGTAAGAACAAAATGGAATTCATCTTCTATTTTGTTTAACAAACATAATTTACACAACCTCTCTTCTTTCTTTGTTTTGCTCCACCGCCCTTTTTCAATTTCGTGGTCTAATAGTCCTTGACGCGAATTCGTAAAGAGTTTTCTTTTTTTGAAATCATCAATGTAAAAAAGATAACCTGAACATGAAATACTACTTACTTTTGAATTGAACATAATAATTCATTCTTGATAAAGACATATTTTCTGAATTAAATTTCTGGTTTTTGATGTCAGATACGTAAAGCAACTTCAGAAAGTAATGTATATGCACCCAGCATGTTTCATTTCTTTTGGTTTTTCTAAGTTGAAAATTATAACATTGAAATAAAATTCTAGATTGGTCGATAGTTAATAAATGTAACCAAAATTTGATGACATTTATGTAACAATAAACAGATAATAAAAATCTTCCAAGTTCGCTTCTAACAGAATAATTTGGAGCTGTCTTTCTGACACCTAAAATATATTTGCAAAAGTCTAAATGAATACGTTCAATAATATGCAAATTGTTTAAGTTAGTAGGTGTTCCACAAACTTCACTCCCGTATAACAAGATGGGCAAAACTTTAGCATCAAAAATAGTATTCCATACATTAATATCAAGATAACCAAACTTAAATAGATTGCGCTTTAAAGAAAAAGTGTTTTTTTTGCATTAATACTATTGATTTCTATTGTTTTCGTCCAGGTGCCGGATGAGTAAAATACAACGCCTAAATATTTAAATGAGCTTACAGTTTCGATCTGATTGGATTTATAGTACTATTTTTCAAACCGTTTTAGTTTTGTCCCTTTTTTAAAAACAACAATCTTAGTTTTACTAACATTAACTGAAATACCGGAATGTATAACTTTAAAGCTGTTTAACATTTATTTTTTTTATTGTTAAATAATAACATTAATAGACATCACTCACTATCATAACATTACCAAGTATTACTCACTAACTTCCAATGAAAGTCTCAATGGCCCAGTTGGTTAAAGGTGTATGCACAGTGTTCACAGTGTGTGTGTGTGTATAAAGCATTACTGCAAGATGATTTAAAGTTTATCTGTTCAAAATGTAGCAATTCTTCTTCTCTTTCTTTAGCTGATGTGAGAAGATTACTGAGGAAGGCAGACTGCATCCCAAATATTATCAAACTTCTGGGGCCAGAGGGTATGCACATTTTTAATTTACATGCACTTTATAATTTAATTGAAATAATTTATCTTAAGTATTTACCTAAAATTGTTAACTTTACAGTTGCAAGGCATTGAAAATTCAGTATTCGGTAAACTTCAGTTTCAATTTAATAATTTATTTCTTGTAATTTGATTTTCAGAAGAAACTTTAGTCCATGAGTTCTCCAGTCTGTGTCTGGCAAACATGGCACAAGAATTCATCGCAAAAGAGCAGATCATGGAGAATGATGGTTTGGATCCTTTGATCTTGCTGCTCTCAGACTCGGATGCAGATGTCCAGAGAAATTCAGCAGAAGCTATATATTTACTCCTGCAGGATTACTCTTGTCGCTCTGTCATCAGGTAGTTGTATTGACTTGCCATCATTTTCTATTTAGTATTTGAGGATATTGTCCCTTTTGTGACAAGTTGTCAATTATTAAATGTAAAGTCCTTAGAACACTTCTTGTCCCTTTGTGACTTATAAGCAATTATTCAATTTCAGGCCATCTTTTTACTAGTACTGTAGGATTATTGCCCTTCTGTGATCAAGTAAATATAATTATACGATATCTCCACGATTTATTACTTTCTTTAACTAATTTATTTGCAGAGATCTTGGTGGATTACCACCATTATTAGAATTGCTCAAGTCAGAATATCCAATCATCCAAGAGACCGCCCTCAAGTGTTTGATAAGTTGTACCCAAGAGTTGGAGAACAGAGAAGCAATGAGGGAGATTGAAGGTCTAGAGCGTCTTGTTGATTTCATAGGAAATAAGGTATATCACTGACTTTCTTGAAAAGATTTTAAAATACATTGACAACCAGTATAAAAATACCCTACTGTAATTCATGTGTACTTACAGGATACTGAGTCAGACCTTGTCATTTAAGGTGAGCGATCGCGCTCGCGCACCTGCTATCGAGGGGTGTGAAAAACAGCTCGACTTGCATTTCAAAATAACTCACCTCCATGACGGACCTCGAAATGCGTGTAATTGAGAAAAAAGATTCATAAGTGTAAATTGCAAATGCATAGCTTCACTTATTCTTCAAACAAAACACTTTTCAGAAACATGTTGCTAATTTAATTATGGAGGAAATTTGTAGAGAATAAAATTAAAATTTTTTTCGATTTATTTAGATTTGATTTTAAAAATATATTCAATACACTGAGTTTTCTATCAGCAAGCTGTCACGCAATGAAACTTTGGGCGATCTGTTTGCACATGACCCCATGAAAAGAATTAACCAATTAGCTGGCAAAGTTTAGGAGGTGTGACCGGATGATGTCTGATTTTTACAACAACCGACCAGCAAATGGCATCGTGACTACGAAGAAAGTGTTGGGTTTAGGGAAAAAATATCAGACCGAAAATGCACGTAAAAACAATATAAAAGCATTCATTTTCTTGGTAATTAAATTTGCTGTACAGTACAGCAAAACAACAGGTACTGTATACTGTATGTAGGCCTATGTTAACTTTTTGTAGGGAAAGTCATACCGAACCCACTGGACTCTTGCTTGCTAGGCCTAGGCCCCTATGCCTATTAGTATTACAGCGGCTAGTCCCTAGACAAGCTTGTTCGGAAAGGGTTCAATAGATATGTTACACTAACCAAACTTTTCGAAAATCCTAAGATCGTAACCGGTCCCAAGGTGGGGAGGGCGGGGTGGTGGCCGGTATTGGGAGATTGCATTTTATTATTTCTCTAGCCATGTAAATATTGTTGTAAATATTGTTGTTGACACCTGTTGATTGCGCTGTATAGCAATTGACCGTTCATCTGCAGTATTTCTTTGACCTCCATGCCCCCTATCCCTTTCCCGACGCTATCCCGCAAAATAATCACTCACCTGAAAATTATGGTGAGTGTTTTATTGCTTGCCTGCCATTTTCAAAAGACAAGGCCTGCTGAGCCTGTCGCATCCAATTTTCGTTGTTCGTAAGAACATTGTCTTAATTTAAAGAATGAAGCTGAAGAACATAAACATGTTAACTACCAAGCTACACTTCCAGAGTTGCAAGAATAGGGAACTTTGGCTTTGCTAGGGGACATCACCCTAGGATGGATTCACTCACTCATTACTGTGTTATATTGTCGGCACAATGTAGATTTGGGCCAGACTGCATCTTGCATTTCAGACATCGAGAACACCTTGAGGCGTCTTCGTATGCGCAGATGGCTCTCTTTGACATCATTATGTTTTAGATTTTACTGTATTCATCTAATTAAAACAAATCTTCCTTTTTTTATTTTTCACACTCTACTGTATGCTTTCAGGAATGGGAAGAGTTACATGTTCATGCTCTGCTGGTGATGGCTAACTGTCTGGAAGATGTGGAGAGCATGGAACTTATCCAGAGCACAGGAGGTCTACAAAAATTGATGGCATTTGCAGCTGAATCACAAGTTCCAGAAGTTCAGAGCTACACAGCCAAAGCCATGGCAAGAGCAGCCAGAAATAGTATGTTACTTGATTATAAACTATTTTTAATATTAAATTTAATTTATTTGGGGAAATTATTTGATGAATTTTATTTTTTTCTTGTCCAACCAGGTAAAAAATTGGGCATGCTCTTAGTTAACATTCTTAAGTTTTATTAAGTTTTATATATTATGCAGTGGATAGTAATAGCGCCATCAGTCAATGTTTTTGTGTTTGTGAAGCGGTGCCTTCATGGTCTCTGTTCATAATGTGTTTTGCCTTTCTTTATTGGATCAGTTTTTTTTTTCTTGGGTTCTTTTTGTAAAGTTTTGACAATGATAAAAATCTTTGCAATGGTTTTATAATAGCTGACAATTATAAACTACCACAGAGAGTGAAGCATACCTGCTTACATCATCATACCCCTCATGTTCATTTATTTTCATCCAGTTCCAAATATTTGAAGTTGGAAATATTAGCGGGGCCCCTGGGGACCCGTAGCAGCTGCACTACAGTGCCTGTACAGACATGTAACAGATACATTGTCCCTTATCCCTCCTAACTCTTATGCGAGGGTTATTCAAGGAGCAGAGCAATCTGACTCTGACTAAAATCTGACACTAACTGGGTTTCAACCAGAATCTTCAGCTCAAGCAGCAGGAACATTAGCTTTTGACCAAATGCTCAGCTGATTTTCATGGCCTGCTTCCAGTCCCACTTCAATTATCTGAAAACAATACCAGATAAAGCCATAGTCAACCTAATCAACACTACCGCAACCCTTGAAATACATTTTTTTAAATGTGTACAGTTTATTTATTTAATATTATTAAGCTTTCACATGCATAAATACAAATGTGAAGGAGACGAGCCAACAGGTGACAAGCACCTCTAATTTTTAAACAATAAGTAAGTAATAACAATAAGTAAGTAATAAAATAGTAATAACAATAAGTAAGTAAGTAGTAAAATAAGTAGTAACAATCAGTAAGTAAGTAGTAAAATAAGTAATAACAATAAGAAAGTAAGTAATAAAATGATTGTATCTCAGGTGAGAATTGCAAGATATTTCATGAACAGGACGGGGAGAAGACTTTAATAGTTCTGCTGGAAGTTGAAAATGCCCAGGTGCAGACCTCATGTTGCCAGGCCCTTGCCATCATGGCTGAGAACCCTCTATGCAGGAGCACTATCTATGAGTATGGTAAGTTTAATGTTTATTATTAATCTTTAACACTCTCATTCTGTGGCATAACTACTGGTGGTTCAGTTGGTTCCTTGAGCCGGGGCCCATGAGTTTCAGGAGCATCAATGTACAGGGGCCCCACCCCCATAATGAATTAAAAGAAATAAAACAATTCATGTATCTTGAGGAGAACAGAAAGAGCCATGATCCGTAAGATGTGTGGTGTGAAACTGTCTGATCAGAATACAAGGGAGCTGATGGATAGGCTGGATCTGGAAGAAACTAATTGCAACAATTGTAGAAGTGGTAAAGAGAAGTGGATTGAGATAGATGGGTCATGTGTTAAAAAAGGAAGATGATGAACCTGTGAAAAGAGCATGGAATCTGGAAGTTGATGGTATAAGAGCAAAAGTAAGACCGATGTCTACATGGAAAGATGAAGAACGAAAGTGGTAAAGGTTGGTCTGCATGAGGAGGATGTTCAAGATAGAAAAATGTGGCGTGAGTGTCATGATGGCGTGAAAGTCAGTAACCCTTTGTAAGAGGGAAAATGCTAACTTAAATAAATGATGATGTATAAGAATTAATTTGTAAATAAGCATCCATAAAATCTGAATGTATAGCATATAATGCAGCAAATCATAATTTTAAAATGTTTATAAAAATAATAAACTAAAACATAAGTTTAAGGCCTAGTTGTTATCTAGTACTTTAAAAAAATTCAAGTAGTGTCCAAGTATTCAAAAAAATAATTGAAGGCACCTCCAATTTTTATGTGTCAAGGGCCTTGACAGTACTCTCAAAGCTCGAGCCTGAACCTAGTATACACAGCTGCTCTTATTCGTCTGAAAAGGTATTCCTTATGCAGGTAGTGGGTGCACATACAAATTGATGAGCAACATTTTACAGAAAAAAAAAATATTATTTTTTATAATGAAATGAAAGGAAATCCTGGTCTTATTTCAGATGGAATTGGACCAATTGTGAAACTCCTTACCAATGAAGATGGAGATGTGCGCGAGGCTGCCTCACTAGCAATAGCAAACCTTACAACTGCCTTGATTCAGAATTGTGTTGAGGTATCCGACAGAAATGGAATCAGTCCACTTATCGAGTTGCTTAGCGACAGCAAGGAAGGAGCTCAGGCTAATGCTGCCTCTGCTTTAACTAACTTGGCCACAGATGAAATTCTCCGCACGGAAACCTTAGGGAAAGGGGTTGTCGGTGCTCTCATCACTCCAATGCAGTCTTCGTAAGTAGTGAAACCAAAAGGAGTTATATGTGATCTCTTTTGTATGTAATCATTACAAGTTAATGAAACACCTCATAAATTACCCTAAAATCATACCAACACTTTGTGTTCACAGGAATACCAATGTGCAGAGCAAAGCATTATTAGCACTTGCTTCATATCTATGCGATGCTGAGGCTAAGACACAGGTTTGTTTAAATTAATTCTAAGTTTTCAAACAAACACTCATATTTCAAAGAAAATGTGACATACCTCCAAGAGTCGAAAGCTAGCATTTTGGAGACATTATTAATATGGCATTTGAATTCAAGTTTTTGGTCAAATTAACCTTGTACCTGATAAGTGTCACCCAACAAAATCCAAAACGAACAGTTCACATAACATGCTTTTTGGTAGAACAACCCCATCTGCATCTTAAATTTAGCCGGGGGAATCGCTCCCACAAAGATCAGTCTGTTTTTCCTTTTTCCATAAAAATGGCAATATGACTTTACAATTTACTGTTACCCTCTTGGTCAAAATTATTGTAATTTGGACACAACTTAAGTTGTTAGGTCTAAAATTATTATGTTTGATATTTTTATTGTACTGTATTATTTTTTATGATTTGTTAAATAAATATATATCATCTTTTTTTCTAAACCATATTTTTAGAGGGTGCCCCTTCCAGTATATCCTAAAAGGTTGACTAATATTCAGGGGCCCTCTTAAGATAGATTAAATAATGTGATGCTTTTATTAGTGAAGTCTTTTTATGAGGCTTATGGAGTGTAGCTGTCACAGGAATTGAACCCAGGACCTTGGGAATAGAATACAAACATCTCAACCACTAACCTATTTTTTGGAACATGCTATATATTTCCACTGAAGTAGCTTCATCTATTGTGGGTTTGTATTTCAGTTCCGTGGACTTGGAGGTCTGTCTCCGTTACTGAAGCTACTTCAGTCTAACAACGACGAAGTGAGACGAGCAGCCTCCTGGGCTGTTGTAGTTTGTGCCAGTGATCCCCTCATAGCTACAGAGCTTTGTAAGATAGGGTAAGTTTAAAATCCTTTTTTCTGAGAGAGATGACCTTTTCCTTTAGCCAGCATATTGGAATGAATAGGAGTAAGTTTTAAATCTGAGACAAGTAATCTTGGACCATATGCTAATTATCCATGACATAAAGACAGGACCTGCAGAAGACTACAAATGCTGTTTCCAACTATTCAGTAATGCACTGAAATGCCTTGGCACATCAGTATAGCTAGCATGCTACCTAGATTAAGTTGGCATGTGTCTTAGTTTGTTTCTTACTGGTCAGAAGAACATTTTTATGATGTTGAATTTAAAGTTGATTACACATTCCAGACGATTGAGCTCATCAATATTCGGACATGAATATAATTACGCATCCAGCTATGCCTTACAATTATCCCTGATTTAAAACTCACGTAATAATACAGCAGTGTATACTGTACTGCACTTTTTGGAAAGGAATACTGTAAGGTGCTGGCAATTTTGTTACGTATCTTGGTCATTGGATCCATAGATGGCAAACAAGCAAAAAGTCAATGTTGTGCTGCATAGTACAAAGAAAGCCAATGCCATATTCTACCCATTTCTACCCCTGGTTTAAGACAAACTTAAGTAAAGTACCTTGCCCAAACATGCAAACTCCGATCTCACATTTGAAAAGTACATGTAATCCTCAAAAGTAAAGTAATTTATTGGTGAATAATTGAAATCTCATTGAAACTACATACTCTACCTCACATTTATTGGTGATCATTGAATAAGGTGATTGGTATTGCATACCTATTTTTAATCTGTTGAATATATCTATAATATTAGCACAAAATGTAATGAAATAATGAAAGAGTCCATTGGATTGGATGACTTCAGTGTGATACACATCAAGGATAACCCATGAAAGTCCTGAGGCTTATTCTAGTGTTATCCTTCTGGTGGTGAATTGAGCAGTACACAGGGAGACAATCCCCTACTCTTTTCCAAAGAGTGTACTGTGTCCTTTAACATGCACTTGGGCAATTTTGTACTTGGGAACAACGGCTTAAACGTCTCATCCGAAAGACAGTGCACTTTTAAAACTTGTAGTTCAGCCCTCCAGCTGAAACACAAGGAGAGCAATGATGGGAATTGAACCGGGGACCTAAAGATCGTCGCGGTTCAGCACACACACTGTGGCTACCACCTTTTTGTCTGACTGAGGTAGTCCATTTATTCATGTAGTCATTTAAGACCAGAACAGGCATTAAAATGGTTTGTCGCCCTCTATAAAATTTATCTCAGTATTTTTTATTACAAATCCAATAAAAATTAAAGTAAATTTCCTTAGCAGCCAAAAGCTGAATTGAGGAAATTTCCTACAACAGGCCTGTATTGATGCATCAAAATTTAATTTCAAAAATTATGATTTCAATCCATTGCTTTGTATTTTGCTTGTGCCATGGGCAAGGCACATTATATTGCTTCTCTCCACCCAGGAGTATAAGTAGGTACCTGTGGTGTTAGAATGACAAGCATGCTGATTAGTTGCTGCAATGTTATGGAATCATTCCCCCTAAGATCTGAGTTTGTGTTCCATAGCTGTTTATTCATAATTCATAATTTTATTTAACTCCAATACAAGACTGATCGGTAACAGTACCTATCAGAATACATATAACTTACAATTCAAGAAATAATAGCACAAAATTAATAGTAATATTGATATGTTATACTCCAATGTGAATAAAAATAAATTAAATAAATTCTCAAAAAGTAGGTAAATAAATTAGCAATGTATAATAAGTAAATAAATTATTAAATGATGCAAGTGGCTTAGTGCAGGTGGCTTAGGCCTAGTTCAGACTAGGTGGGCAAACCTGGCTCAACTCACCGAATTTATCCATGTGCCAGTCTGAACTAGGTGGCTTATCTCAAGCCGGGCTGCGTTTCTATAGTAACTAGGCCACCGTGTTTAACCGGGCTTTAATCACTGCGGGGGGTCTTGTATTGACTTAAGGTAAAAAAATGACCAATCAGCATTCAGTTATGTATGCTGTGAGCGAGTGTACGTTTCAAGCCCAATGTTTCCAAACTCGTTTCCTGGTTACGGTTCATTATGCTAATTCTCGCGCCTGGCTAATCCCACTAGTCTGAACGCCCGGCAAAGTTGAGCCGGGCTTAATGTTGAGCCGGGCTTAACTCAAGCCTGGCTTATCTCCAAGTCTGAACGTAGCCTTAGTGCAGGTGGCTTAGTGCAGGTGGCTTAGTGTAGGTAGCTTAGTGTAGGTGGCTTAGTGCAGGTGGCTTAGGGTGGCTTAGTGTAGGTAGCTTAGTGTAGGTGGCTTAGTGCAGGTGGCTTAGTCCAGGTGGCTTAGTGTAGGTAGCTTAGTGTAGGTGGCTTAGTGCAGGTGGCTTAGTGCAGGTGGCTTAGTGCAGGTGGTTGATAGCAATTGAGAAACAAGAGACGGAGGAGGGTAAACATGTAGCAATTGGAAGTCTGTTGCAGATGCTTGCAATGTAATGACAAGAGGAATAGTGAAGTGCATAGCATCGCAGGGGGAAGGTGAAGTGTTGGATGGGGTTGAGGTGTATTAAATGAAATATACTTAATCCAACAACCTGGGTAATAGAGGCCTTTAGTATGATGTGCTATAAAGTCTACCATTTTTATTATTGTGATGTATAAAGTCATCTATCAATTCTCTTTATGGTGGGGGAACTATGCGTAGTGTAAGGCCAAAAGAAAAAAAATGTTGTGTTGCCCTCCGTGACCGACTGAAATTTTCCAAAAAATCGGGTCGGCATTTTTTTTTTTTTTTATTTCAAATTCGAGAAATAACACTTCCGAAATTAACATTTAGAACCCCGTTCTGCAACCTTTTTAGCTCACGACCCAAATTATATGTCAAGCACTCTGACACAACCCATTGAACCCGAAGTGATTAAAACGTCCGTCATTTTATACGCGCGATGGATAGGGGGAAGAATCACCCACTTGATTCTTTTGTGAATTGATTAAAAGATATTATCACCCATAGAATCTCTATGTAAAAGCCATAGAAATGAAAATGTAACTTTGAATTTCACATTTAACAAAATCACGTAAGTTATCATATTTTTCAATAAGTTAAACTTTTTAAAAATTAATATCATATACTGTGATTGAGACTATGATAACGCACGCATAACAAAAGTAAACTGACACACTTGTCACACTTAAATTGCACTTTAGTTTACTGTAATTTAATTTAGTTTGTCTTCATTCGTGTTAAGTAATGTTTTCAAGATCTGAAGAGAATTGTGACCCATCATTTTTTTTTGCGAACAAAACATTGGGTCGGAACGGTGATTTAGAACATAAAATCTAAAACAGACATGTATTTTTTATCAAAATTGGGCCATAGATGCACTCGTAAAATCGGTAAAATAGAAGGCATAATTTTGAGAACTGAGCGCGACGACGATATATGCGCACAACATCGGATCTCTTGTGCTGAGTTGTCAAGCCACGACCAGATTTAGGCCTAAACCTATTCTTTACTACTGTACAACTAGTGGTTGCTTGAATAAAAAATCATATTCATTACCTTATGGTATATTGGACAATAAATAAAAACATGCTTAGGTCTAGCCATCGCTTTAAAACTGATACATAGCTAGAAATTTTCGGCTCCGGTACGGTTTTAAGCCAACCATAAACAATATATTTTTCTTTTTTTTTCTCGAAGTTTGCTTCGATTGTATTACATAGAGGGCGCTTTATCGGACATTTTTCATAGCCACAGTATGGTTTTGCTCGATTTGCCCATGCGTGATCGTGTGGATCGGATACACATATTATTTTACATTTCGAAGCCAAATTAAATCTTTCTTTAAACTGATTATTATTTTTGTTAAATTTATTTCAATATACACTTATACACATTATTTTGAATACTTTTTGTTTGTCAAGCTTGCCATCGTTCTATTGTGGTGCCTACAAGCTAACAAGCCCTTAGGCTTAGGGTTTTCATAATACAGACTGTAGTTTCAGGCCTATCTTATTTCAGGTATTACTAAAAAAAAAAATAAAAAAAAACAAACAAAAACAAAAACAAAACCGGCCGACCGGCGATCTCGATTTTTTCCATTTAAGGGCAACACAACAATTTTTTTTTTGGTCTTATTTATTGTGATGGTATGACCTTCTAGATTTCACATGATGATTATATTGCCAGATTGTGGTAATAATAAGCTATTGTAATTTCTCAATTTTAAGCTGCCTTTGGGCATAGACCAATACAATAGATTGTACTTATTCAACTTTTTTCAGGATGTCTTTCACATTCTTTCACATTTTCCGTGAGAAATATCTGTTATTAGCTCAATACATTGGCATATGATGTTGTCATATTACACCCATATATGGGCATTATGATGATGTCATATTACATCCATATATGGGCATTATGATGATGTCATATTACATCCATATATGGCCATGATTATGTCATATCACACCCATATTGTGAACAAAGCTAGTTTTTGTTTACAGCTTTTTCTAGGTTCATCGTTTTTATAGTGTTAATGCTAGTTTCAATTTGAAATGTATATTTCCAATAAGCAATCAATTTCTGAAATAATTTTGACAAAATCTCTTTGGATTTTGTGATGCTAGATGTTAGTTTTTGTCTTTTTTGAGGATGTGTTGGTTGTTTTCAGTGGAGGCACCAGGACCTGCCCAACGGAGGGGCTAAAGGCCCTACGGGGGGGCTAGTGGAGCAAATCGAGTCTCACTTGGGTGGGGGCCAGTGGGCCGCCTAAACCCCCCAGCGGGGGTCCACGGATATTTGATGAATTATGGTGAATTTTTATTACTTATTTGATAGGCATTGATTTACTATAATATGACTTCATGTAGGCTATGCTTTCTAATGTTGAAATCAGCTTCCAAAACCAACACATTTTGAATGAAACAAGAAACAAAGAGTATGCAATGTAACCATCTAATTAAGTGAAATTCTATATTTTGGAAATTTTGTATGAAATCTGTCAACAACACTTTCATGGTCGAGGTTGCTTCACCTATCACGATGTATTCCAACCATCATGATGCTATCTAAATGAGCATTTGTCATAACAGAACGCAAATTATTTGGGGGTGGGGGGGTGGGGCTGTGCTTCCCCGACAGGGGGGCATAGCCCCCTGGCGCCACCACTGGTTGTTTTATGCCAGAATCCTAACTAAATATGCATTTTAGTTTAATTAATCTGCATTACTCACTGAACATAATTATATCAATGTACTTGTACTATAGAAACCCTAGCTACCCAACACTGTACCAAATAGGCATATAAATCTTTTTGTTTATTTATTTTATTTATTCAGAACTTCACATTTGTATCATTGATAAAGTTATACAAAATAAAAAAATAAATAATTGACAAATGGACATGAAAATTTCTTCCAAACAACATCGGGACATAGACTTTACTAATTGATCTACAGTACCTAACATCTCTACCCATCTGGCAAGACATTTTACTATGACTCTACTGTAGTAGACAATACAACAAACCCATGGATATATTAACTAGTACTGTACTAGACACTCTTACCTATTGGCCATAATCAAAATATGGAGTAAGCTCTGTCCACAATATCAAATGTTATGTTACAAATAAATGTGATATGCCCATATTTGGTAAGGCAAGGCAAGGGAGGCATTCGCCCTCCTTTCGGACTGGGCTGGACCTCCCTGTAGTCCAACCTCCCTATTGACTATAGGTCGGATAAAAAATAATAATTTGCCTATGCAGATACGTTATTTTGATTGCTAATCTCAAATATTGTGGTCAAAAATCACAATTTGGACCATATTAAGGTATAAAAAACTCTTCCTGTGAATCGTACCAGGGATGTTTTATTCCGGGGCATTGACCGAGGCTCTAGTGGGCCCTTTGTTCAGACCCCTTCATCGGACATGTTGGACCTCTTGTCGGTAAATTTCTGGCACCACCGCTGCAAACACTGTGTAGTACAATGGCTGACAAATCCATATCTGCTCTATCAGCTTGACGACACATTATCTGCTTGACGACACATTATCTGCTTGACGACACATTATCTGCTTGACAACACATTATCTGCTTGACGACACATCATTGTTGGGCAGATCTTCATTGAGAATGATCCGTTGCACACGTCTTGTCACTCTCTATGGAAGCATGTCGTCTAATTACCACATGCACAGTGTGTGCCCAACTTTATTAATACACTTGATTATGATGACGGCATTTATTATTCTGTTAACATTAGTTTGACCCATATCCAGCAAACGCTGTAGTCTTTTTCCCTTTCTTTTTCAGTGGGCTGGAAGTTCTACAGAATATACAGCAGTCAAGCACAAAGCAGAACAGCTTCAGTGACTCTGCTTTAGAGAGGCTTTTAGATAATGCACTATCAGCAAAATATGCGCTAACAGGACAACTTTCTTCATGTGATGTCATCACTGATGGATTCTATGACGTGGGCAAGGTGAGGTTATTGTAACAACATCATCAAGGTGCTCCATTGCCCTTACACTGTGCCAGTGCTTTTTATACCTATAGTACCATAACATTGACATTTTCTGCTAACCATATATTTTAGGATTATACCATCATTTATACATTCTTTCAAGAATTTAGCAGCAATGGAACCTAGCTCTTTATTTATTGTAGCTTTTTTCTTTTATTTCACCAAAATCTAACGATGACAAAAAGTTTCACATAATATAATAAGTTGAATATGAGAGAAAAAACAATAATAAACTCCAAAGAACAACAACTTCTTTTAATAGGGAGGTTTTACAACATTACGAAAATGATAACGAAAGCAACTTTCATTTTTGGAACGTTTTTGTAAGGTTGTGAAACCTCCCTAAATAACCTGGGAGGGGATAATTTTGCTTGTACATTTCTTACATGTATATATTATTGTTTATTGTTTTGTACTATGGAATTGAAATTCTGAAATAAAATGATGAACAAATGAATGAATTAATTAAATTGTATTTATAACAATCTGAGGTGTTTAACCCAGTGAACACAGACCTTTACCCACACTATCATTTCTACTTCCACTTTTCATAACATAATCATAATGATGAGTATTATTAATGGTCATTAATCTTTATTATTTGTTGATTCAGATGCGACCTGGCTCCAAGTTCATGACACTTGAGGAGTTAAGTCAAGTCGAGGTCAACCAGAAGCGACCTATACTACTCGTCAACTTTACGCCTTCTAGAAGGTAAATTATTAATCATTAAAAGAGAAAGTAAAGTAAAAACAAATCGGATGTAAAAAAATGTTTGCCTAACTTATGAAAATATAAGCTAATATGAAAATGAAACAATTGCATACATTGACGTAATGATAAAGGCATACAATTTATATATAAACATTGTTTGATAAGATCTTTAACACAATATTCCTCTATATCTGAGCAATTTTTTTTATCTAAGTCTTCATGGGAGTGTCCATTTGTATCTGTTATTAATTTGCATGAATTTGTAAACATTTTGTATGTATATGCAGTATTTGTATGTGTATATTATATGTATGTTTGTGTGTATGTCTGTATGTATATTTATGTATGTATTATGTTTTGTTTTTAATGTATTGTTTGTTGTTTTTGTCCTGGTGTGAATTGGTTTTCCTTATGAAAATGTCATAACGTTTGTTTTTCTTTTCCAGGTACGTTTTGACCCTTTTTTTTTGTTGTGATGCTGATTGTTGTTTTTTCCCCCTGTGTCAGTCCTTCTCTGTGTTTTAGGTTTTCTCTATTTGCATTTAATTAATATTTTATCTTTTAATAATATTGTTCTCTTGAAGATTTTGTAAATCTGCTCGCAATTCAGTTATGTTTTACTGCTGTGAGTTTTGATAATAAAAACAGAATGAATGAATGACAACAATTCATAAATGTCCAGATATAAAAATTAGTTAATAATGCTTTCCAGTGACCATTATCAATAATGAATTTCAGTGATTTTAAATATAATGTTTTATGTTCCAGAAGTTATCCAGAAATCCAGAAATATCCATACCATTTTGAATATCGTATCATATATTTGACTAGTAAAAAGTAAATTATGGCTGACAGCTGGATTACCTAAAAGCAACACAATGTTACTGTCACAAACCTCTCCTGGCATATATAAACATTAATTGAGTTCTTTTCTTGTTTAGTGTACCCCCATCACCTGTGCCTGTATTGTCAGATTCCGATGTCAAACAAGATTCTAAGACCCAAGTCAGTGGCAGATCATCGAGAGCTTTAATTAAAGGGTTTGTTTTGTTTTTTACTATATTTATGAAGGGTGACCATTCCAGCTTATTCTAGGTCAGTTGATATCCAGGGACCCTTTGAAGTAATGTTGCTTTATAAACTAAGTATATTTATGAGGCTTAGGATTGGAGAGGTTTTTAGTTTTTTTTTAGAAAAAATAAATACTAACGCTGTGTGTGGCAAAGACAGGCCAAACCAGTCACTTGTCGCAAATCCTGTTTCAGAGATAATAGCCAGAACATGCTGAAATGTCAATATTTTAAAAATCTATTTTACTACACTAAAACTAACCTTTACATATCTATATATCATGCTGTGCTGTTATTTTCCCCATTTTCAATGTTTAAAACAACAATTCATAACGATTTGGTGATGGTTTCTGCCTGAGAAATGCCCAAAATCATAAACTTTGAAGGTCAATTTTTCAAATATTGTTCTTTAAACTGCTGTATGTTCCTGTAACTTCATAACCAAATGTCTGATTTAAATGATTCTTTTTCTATTTTACATCTGTCATTTTACTGTTAAACCCTGTATTACTAACTAAAAATTGATTTTTGCGAAAAGTGACTGGTTTGGCTCGTCATTGCCACATACGTATTTATATCTTTAGCATTTGAAATGTTTAATGTAAAATATCAACTGAAAAATAAGATAATGTTTAAAAATTGTTTGTATTGGTTCAGATTTAGAAATTTAATTATGCATTTTTTAAATATTTTAAAAATTTAATCTTTTTCTGTAAATTCACTTCATTGTTATAATTTATTGTCACTCACAATTAGTTTGATTAGAAATAGAGTAACAATACCAATCATACCATTTAATTTACTAAAAACAAATTTTGTGGCACTCTCCCATATCACCACTTTGAATGTCAGTATTTGTAAGCTAGGCACACACACACGCTAATCTCTACTATAATAGATGGATTGCTAATTGGCTGGTTTTAGTGAAGCCACTGGCACCATTTGCAAATAATAAAGTGTCATACTAGTCTAGTCAAGTTTTTGTTGACATTTGTTTAAATTAATGTTAAAAATAACAATTGTTAAAATACATATTAATAAAAAAATACATTTTTTTTCACATCCTGTAATGACTCAACACGCCTGTTTGTGTAGTTTAAAAAAGCGCTAGCGAAGTTACATTGTTAGTTATCAATGTCACTATAAAAACGTGACTTTGCTTGCGCGTTTCTAACCTGCATAAATAGGTGTGTCAATTGGTTACGTTAAATTTAAATTATTAAAAAGTGTTGCAAGAATTGTTATTTTTAACAATAATTTATACAAATGCCAAAAGAAACTTGTCTAAACTAGTACATCACTAATGCCCCCACCCCCAACATGGCATCGGTGGCTTCACTTTATTCTGTACAATGATTAGCCAATGAGCACTCCAGCTATTATAGTAGAGATCAATGCACACACTCCATCAATTATTGGTTGGCTGACCAACTAATCCATTTCCGCTCTCAGTGAGAGCCTTACGACGATGAATGTCTGTGGCTGTCTCAACAGTCCGTCTCATGCACCTTGATGCATTTTTTTTATTCATGTTGAAATTTTTTAGCTTATCACACACAGTATGTCTTGTAACATAATGTGTTCTGGGTCACCAAAGTCACGGCACCTGCAATATACTAATCTCTAATGGTGCTAGTAAGCGAAGGACTCCTTGGTGATATTTCAGTTTTTTTTCCCCATATCTGACATGCTTACAACAACAGTGCAATGATGTTTGCTAATAGGGCCAAAAGAGAGAGCAAGAAGGAGAGAGAAGAACGTGAGTTACGTGAACGTTTGGAGGCTGAGCGATTGGAAGAACAGCAGGCTCTTCTGGCTCAGCAACCACCTGCATTTGAACCGCCCTCTGATCCTAAATTAGAAGAATATCTCAATGATGTTGTTTTGCATATTGCTCCACTGCCGACAACCAGAGAGCAGGTTGTAAGCCTAGCACAGTAAGTTTTGGCTGAGTCCAAAAACATTAGGTTTTCTTTCCATTTTTGCTTTCATCTTGATTTTTTACAACATTGTGACCTTTTTAGTAATAGAGTATCAACAATGAATAGTAATATTTTGCATATTCCTCTATTTTGGATATTGTAGATCAGATTCATTTGCAACCGCATAGCAGCTCGATCTGATATGGATGATGCCTGATGAAATTAATTAGTAAATTAAGGCCTCAATTTCTTTGCAACAAACTTTTTTTCTTTTTAAGTTGGCATTACATCAAAGGTCATTTCTCTCATTTGGTGAAACTTTTATACTTAGTTTTGGTTTAGGTTGTGTTTCTATTCACTTCTTAAGTATTCTGTATCTTTGGGCGCAATTAATTAAAGTTTCTATTGTTACTTTAAGCTTATGGAATGTGTTCCTACAGAAAAAAAATAACAACGGTGCAATACAACAGAATACAATATGGTCTTTTTTTTCAACCAATTCCAGTTATACAAAACAGAATATAAACATGTCGTTTGTGAAACCAATTCATTATCAATGCATAGTACTTTTTAAGTTCCTGTATTTTTATGATGGTTTTGATACATAAAAGCAGTTTGTAAATACAGAATTCTGGCTCTGTTATTTACTTCCTCTTCCCCATATTAGTGCTTTTTCTAATAAAAGGCAGAAATGTAATGTAGCTTCTCTAAAATTCTATTGATGTATTCTTTTACTTCTACTGAAAAATAAAATTTACAATATATTATGTTTCGGTGCTAATATATCTTTAAAAAATGTTATTATTAAGTATAATTATCATTATTTTAATATTAGTATTTATAATTTAACTTGTTTTCTGTATCTTAGTTTGATGTTTATTCTTCTCTTTTTTGTTTTCCAAATTTACATGAATTGAATGATTTGAGTATTACCACTAAATACTATTCAAATTTATTCAATCTACTGTTGCTATTTTGGTAGATTTGTAAGTGATAAAATGGGTGGAAGTATTGAAAGAGGGCAACTCTCAAGCTTTAGTTATGAATTACCTATCAGCCAACTGAAGTACGACCTGCAGAGTAACGTGATTCAGATCGGAAAAGTAACAACCGGCATCCACTACCACCGGGCACTCTTGTTCAAGGTAAGTTACCAGACAAGATTCTTTTATTAATCCTCAGATTACAATATCCTGGTTATGAAGTTAATTCAAGTGTGATTACAATATCCTGTTTATAAAGTTAATTCAGGTGTGATTGTATAATCAGGGAACAGTTATATTACAAAATTTAACTGTCCCTGGTATTATAATGTTGGTCAATAAACCACTTGACTATTTGTAGTTAGTTACTAGTACACAATTGGTCATCATGATACATTTTAAACTTACAACCTACCATATATAATGATCAGATGGCAAAAATATGTGTAGTATACTGTGAGTTAATTTCTGTCCTGAATATTGTTGAAAACTACAATACATAATGATATTGTTAATGCAAAAACCTGAAATTTGTAGAAAGTTGAAGTCATCCTAGCATTATCTAGATGAATAATTTTTTTTGGGAAACCCCCTCCCCCCACTCTGTGTAATCCCATTTCTAGTGATATTTTATGGTATTTGCTTGGACCACTCGCAATGAGCTTCCAACACCTATGGTAAAAAATAATATCAATTGTTTCTTAGGCCCTGGCTGATCGTATTGGTGTTGCATCAACCTTAACTAGAGGTGACTACAACAGGGCCTGGAATGTTGTAATGCTGGTGGATGATGAATCTGTGGAGGTAAGCACAATATTTTGTATTCGTATCTGTTGATTATAAGCTCACAATGTCAGTACAATACCTTATAAGGCTCAGTATATAACTAATAATTGGGATGTTCCGATAGCAGCTCTCCCCTTTTTTATGTAGTTCTATATAACTAATAATTTGGATGTTTCAAATGTTAACATAGATATCTAGAGTAAGCCTAGCTCGTGCTGCTTAAAATTCTTCTCCGACTCCATTTTGCTTGGGATTTTTGGTTACTCACGGAAGTAAGAACTGTTGCGTCAGTCTCTTGGAGGCTTCCCCGATTCACACGAGACTTGGGACGATAGGCCCTTCCCATCATAACAGATTCAACATGCACAGTAAAAAATCTCATTGTGCATTTTGTTTCACATGAAAATTTTGCACTCAAATTCTCAACCATTCAATTACATTGTAATATGCGAGATTAAGATACATTCAATTACATTGTAATATGCGAGATTAGATACATTCAATTACATTGTAATATGCGAGATTAAGATACATTCAATTACATTGTAATATGCGAGATTAGATACTTAAATTTATTTTTATCCATTACAGGGAATTGCTCCCCGTTTCCCACCAAAAGCTTTCATAATCGATTTGATTCATGAACCAGGAAGACTCATGAGATCTGACTCATCCGATGCAGTTACATATCAGAGCATATAGTAGAAGTCCTTTTGTTATTATTTATTATTATAATAACTCTGATGAGGTACCTATTAAATCATTTCATAACTGTGAAATCTGGTTGACTTGAAAGTAAATTTTAAGTTGCAATTTGATCAGCGAGCATAATTTCAGGTACTAAACTGTCATTTATGAAGCCTCAAGTTTCATTGTCAATTTGCGTTTTGAAAATTCTCGTCTTAAATCATGTGAATTTTGTTGGAACATATCAGAAGCAATGTGAATAATCTGACTGGGTGTTTAAGAATGTTGAAGTTGAATGAAATGAAAACAAAAGCACAAGCTTCTGGAGAGTGGGGCCATAATATTCACCATCCTAAACTCAGATTTTAATATGCTTATTCAGAATTCAAAGATTTTAAAATTTTATACTGGAGAAAAATTGCACCGTGTGGAAGCTATGCTTTTACTCTGTAACATAAAAGGAGTAACTCTAGTCTTTCATACCAAACAAAAGCAGAATCTTTTTGAGCCTAAAGACCTCATCGTCTGCGGCAGTATCTACCAACTACAATGATGAAACCGTCAGCAAGTATATACAGTATATGCTATAGGTCTATACATGTAGGTAAACAAATGGTTTTACAGCAGAGGTGACGTCAGGATTGCCTGATGGGAGAACGATATTCATGACGAGAGCAAAGTGGGTGTGATTGTGCATTTAGACAAAGCCCTGTAAAAATATAACAATCTTGGGGTTTCAAAGGCTGAATTCATAGCTTTTAAGCTTAATGAATATAGAAAATACATTCCACCCCCCCCCTCCCCAACAAATTGTGGTTTTTACTTCCCAATTGGAGGAAGTTTTCCCTGAAAGTCACCCCCCTCTCCTGCATGTTTTTCGACATATAAACTTGTCAAAGAACACACAGCACAGAAACAGAAACTAACAGATGCTATTTAATCACAGCTCAAAAATTGTCTAGATTATCAAACACACCCAAATCTGCTGTAAATAAACTACACTACAAATCCACATATTGAGGTGCTGCTGAAAAATGGGGCATACAGTATCTGAGATGGAGCGAGTATGTAAAAACACAGCTAGTTCCCTCTCCTCCTCATCGCCACAACATTTCTTCCTCCCCACCCCTCTCCTATGCTAATTCCCTGGAAACGTCACTGACCAAATGCACGGAAACAGCAGATATAAGGGACCGGAAACAGCAGATATAAGGGACCGGAAACAGCAGATATAAGGGACCGGAAACAGCAGATATAAGGGACCGGAAACATCTTCAATTGTGTTCGTTGATCAAAACCAAACATTTCATAATTGTTGTTTTACTTTATTACTATTATTATTATTATTATCAAGCTCCGGTGACAAGCCAGTTCTTTTTTTTTTTTTTTTGCTTTAATAGCCGCTTTAGAAATGTGTTTTATGATTATTATATATTATTATTGCTATTATTATTAAAATATTATTATTGTTATTATTACTATTATTATTATTATTATTAAACTGTTATTATCCAGATTATATTGCTATTATTATTGTATTAATATTATGACTCTGATAAAGTATCTGTTACATCATTCATTATAATTCTTATTGGTGGTGTTATTTTGTTCATCATCATAATTATTGAAATTAATATTATTATGCCGTTTTGATTTTGCAATGGGTTTTTCATGCCGACTACAAGAACAATAAATATCGGGTAAAATGGAAAACTGTATAAAGGTAGCATATTATTGTACATGTACATTTTGTTAATATTTTTGGAATATGATATGACATTAAATATGAGTGTTGGCCACAGATATCGTGTTTTAATGAGATTCTTCTCAGAACTCTGTCAATATATCAGATAAGTAAGCGTGATACCAGCATTTACAATAGTCATAAATTCTGCTTGCCAATCTCCTGTGACGTCACAGAACCAATACGTCCCTCGGAATTATCGTATCATCAGTAGTATGATTAGGGTAGCGTGAATTCTAGACTTTGTAACATTTCTTATGATCCATAGGCTGATTCAAAGGGAGGGGAATGCGGATTCAAGTGTCAGGGGAAGATAGAAGCTGGCCTGGAGCCCAGCCAGCCTCAGTTTTTTTTTTTTTTTTTTCAACAGTATGAAACAAAATGGAAAATGAAAGAGTGAGAGTGCCATTTCTTTAATTACCTAGAGGTGCTATATCCATAAAATTTCATGTCGGTGGGGCTGAGGTGGTGTAGAACTTTTACTTGGGCCCATAGGCTTCAATCGGTGGGGGACAGGGGGACCATCTCAGCCCCACCATAGATGAGGCTGAGGTAAGAAAATGTATGATTATGGCAACTCTAGTTGACTGGAAATGGTACTCTCAGACTTAAATTTGAATATTATTTTCTTTTTTCTCCACTCTGAAATTTAATTCAGCTTAACCAGTTCGTAGTTTTGACTTGCAAAACTACGGCCGACTTCCATTCCACCAAGAACTATGGTGGATGCATGATTTGGCGGTGGGGGTGCATACAAAAAATGAGGAAAAGTACATGCAGATTGCCGGAAATGACACTTTATATAGTAAAATTCATCATCATCACATCACCATTATATAGTCAAAATGAAGTGCAAACTCTCATGATCTTTTATCAGCGATTTTCGGTAACCACAGAGATCTAATTAGTACATGTGATGTACCATAGAAAATAAACTTAAAAACATTGCCTTTGATGTATCTACTTTACCCACTTCAAAGCTCTGAGTTACAACCACATCAGCCCCACTAATCGTTGGGCTGAGGTGAGAAAATATGAGGAAATAGTACCTTTAGATGGCCTGAAATGACACTTTTTTTTATAGTAAAATTCATCATCACATCATCAATGTAGTCTAGAAGAAAGCGGCAGAAAATTTATCATGATTTTAAATCAGGGATTTTCTAATTAATATGAGTGATGTACCATACAAAATAAAACTAAAGAAACAATTCTCATGATCTTTTATCAGCTTTTTTCGGTAATCATAGAGATCTAGTGTGATGTACGGTACCATAGAAAATAAAACGTAAACACATTGTCTTTGATGTATTTACTTTACCTACTTCAAAACTTGTGAGTCCAAACGCATTTCAGCCCCACCACGGTTGGGGCTAAGGTGAGAACATAGGAAATAGTACCTGTAGATGGCCGGAAATGACACTTTTAAATAGTAAAATTAATTCCTAATCTTTTATCAGCTATTTTTGGCAACCACAGAGATCTAATTAGAATGTGTGATGTACGGTACCGTAGAAAATAAAACTTAAACACATTGTCTTTGATGTATTTACTTTACCTACTTCAAAACTGTCCACACGCATCTCAAACGAGCCCCACCACGGTTGGGGCTAAGGTGAGAACATAGGAAATAGTACCTGTAGATGGCCGGAAATGACACTTTTAAATAGTAAAATTA